GTTGTTCTTATAGTTTTCTTCGTCTATAGGCTTCCTTTTCAGTTAACTGTCTTTTCGACAACCTTTTCACCCACAGTTTAAATTCAGCAAGACAATTGACAGGACTCACTACAGAGGTCCTTCTTGCCATTGAGTTATGACAACAACCTACTTTTAAATTTTCAGTAACCCGACTTACCCTCTCTTTCGTTAAATTCCATCAATGGAAGGTCGATTTTCCCTTTTCGCTAAATTCCGCTAATATAAGGTTGAATTTCGTTCAATTGACATCAGTATCCTGCGCAACAGGAGTTTATGTTGATGGGATTTTATCCTATTTAGTATATTGAAACAAATATAATCTTAGCTAATTTAAGATTTTTTATCACTTCCGCCACAATTAAATATTCATTTACGCTCACTAGCCAAGAATTGAATGTTTGACCACAACATACGTTAGGCAGTTGAGCGTAGGAAATAGATATTTAAAGGGCCCTACAAGTCAATTTTGCCAAACAATTATATGCGGCTTTAATTTCTTACTTATTGCGCACGTATCACGCATTAATCACTCATTAACCCTTAAAGCGCGAATTCCTAAGACACGTGGGCCGAAGAACTTCTGTCATTAAGTGGCCGTACAATAAAGTCCTATCTCGGCCACCTTTTTCCCAGGCTGGAATGAGACATATTGTCATTTGCTGAGCAGATTTAGCACGGTAAACAATCAAGGCAAAACATCAATAACACAAGTTCGAAGTAACACACATTCTGCTGAACTCCAGATCGCGGTTGTCAGTTTTTAGTTATACCCATCACATTCTGCTCTACTCTACGCGTGACTCGAAGTATTTATAGTCGAAACATGTTTTAAAATTAATCCGAATGTCTAGGTACTGTTAGCAGTGAAATAAGTTAAATTCATTATCATTTTACCCAGCAAAGCTTGATGAAGCATATTGTGATGCGTGCATTATCGATGAATCCTACGACACCTATTTACGTTAACGTGACATACCCTGACCTAAATCAAGCTAGCAGTCGTAATTCGACGGAGGCAACAAATATCTTGTGTAATCCGGGCTGGTGTTCGTGTGGTGACTAGCTCGCGTCGAAGTGAACTTTCCCGAAGGCCTGCAGACGTTGG